TACTGTCTATAGACGCACAACTCGAAGCGAGTTCTCGTTGTACAAACAGCGACCGCGAGACCACGGTCGCATCAGCAGTCGCGGTGAGAGTTGGAGCGACACGACGAACCGAAAACACAGTAACAAGAATTCACTGTGAGTTCGCCAGCATTTAATACATTGTCGCATTTACATTTTGACGAGTGCCTAAGCTGAGCTCAAGGCGCTCTATGACATCGTTTAAAAAGCGGTAACGAAACTAGGGGAGAGTGATTTTGGATGGCAAGGGCAATGCCAAGTGGCCGAGGAACGCGTGACCGTCACAGAGGGCACGCGTTGAGGGATGGGTCACGCTAGAGCCTCGACAGGGGAGGGACGGGACGGAGTGGAGGGGCGAGAGGGTAGGGCGATGAAGAAGAGGTGGAGTTTTTCCCGACACGTGCGAGAATCGCCTCCGATTTAGCACGGTTGGCCGAACGTACGTACAGACGTCGTGTTTGTTTGGTTGGCAGTCGCCCAGCTGATGTGCGGAGACCGCCGTCCAAATGACGTTCCCATTATTTGCAGACTTTGCAGCAGCGGCAGCAGCAGCAGCGCATTTGGCGACTGACTGTGCTCTGCTGATGAGTCGCAATTGTAAGAGAACCCACCCACGGTGTTTGCCCCATCACTTTCTCAGCTGTCAGTCGGTCACATTGGCTCCGATTAATTTTGACGGTGGGCTAAGAAGACGAGAGGAGGAGGAGGAGGACCAAGACGCGGTTGTTCGGGAACTGTTGATGTTTTATTTTTGTATTACGATTGCATAACACACAGACGGATGCGTGATCCGTACTCGTGTCTCAGTGGTTTTCTTGTTAACGTGTACATTTTAACCGTAAATTAATATTGCAGAGGTCAGCCTTTCTGCACGCTGAAAGTGTATATTATATTCGTTATTGATCGCGAAGTATCTGTACATGTTCTTTATACGGAATTGTACAGCATTATCTGTGTACAGATGTAGGGTCATTGCCCGTAACGTCACTTATTACATATCTGTCTACTGTAGATGCAATTGTCTGGTTCCGTAGATACCGTTGACACACACACGCATATATATGTGTGTGTATATATATGCGTGTGTGTATATACGAAAAAAATAAAATCCCCACGTTGTAAATTGTAATTGTGATCATTATTGATGTCCCGATGTCAATCCACGGCTGGATAATCAATCCCCACGCCATGTCGGTCTTAGGGGGGAGGGGCGCAGGTGTTTTACTTGACCATACTTCACCACGCTGGTGAGTCTGTGGGTTGGTCGAAGGAAAAACGCCCGCTGCACATCACGACCTTAGGCCTTGGCTGGAAATCGACAGTCGGGTGTCCGTTCGCTAACCATTGCGCCACCGCTCGCTCTCCGTGTTCATGCATGACCACGTTGCGATGCTGATGTCGCATTATACGATTACGTACGCTGTGCCTTTCCATAAATCACGATCCGTTGGTGAACAACTATCTGGACAATCGTGCAATGTTCGTCGCGCGCCCGTGCGCGTGTGTGTATCTGTACACACGCGTATGCACGCGTATTGAACGCGTGCATACGCGTATGTATACATATATACGCGTGTGTGTGTGTGAATATGTATATATGTGGTGAGCGGTTGTGTAGGAATTCGCGCGCTGTGCTGCGAACCCGGAACCTGAGTTCGATTCCCGCTCACGGCCAACACCAGCGACGATTTTCTGAACGGGTCCTGGGCCTCCCCCTAGGTTGACTCAGCCTCAATTGAGTGCCTGGTGCGATGTGTAAAACATCGTCACTCGGGAGACAGAGGCGGCCGGGCGTGGTGTTGGCCACCCACCCCCTCGTGTACCGTGCTATTCGCTCAAAGCGCTTGCTGCAAGAAGTATGTTAAGGATCTTTGTTTGTGTGTATAGGTCTACAGGATACAACACACGTGCAACCTGCTGGAGCGTTAGCGTCATACTCCACGCGAGGAGCATCACTTGGTCCACTGATTGTGCGGATCGTATGTTTGTAACAAATTATGAGGTATATGCAGTGCTGCCATGTTCAAACATAAATCTTATCAGGCCCCTTTATGTAAAGTATAAAGTAACTAGTCTCCAACTCGTATTACCCACCGTCTCTCTCTATATATATGGCCTCTCTACGTGCTATGAAGAAGGGCCATTGCCCGAAACGTCGTCTATTATTATGAATACACATGTTGTTCCCTTTAAGGCCACGCAGACTCACACGGTGTTGCTGAGGAGCGTGTTGGCCTAGCTGTGTATTCCTAAGCGTTTATTAGCACAATACTTTGCGCGAGCGACGAGTATAATCTTTGAGGCTCATCCTGCTTGCCTTGCCTGTCAGGCTTCCCTCTGTAATTCATTTATTGGAGTGGGGGGGGGCAGGGGCTGTGGCCCAATTTGGAAAATTGTGGCATTTAGAATGTGTCCACGTTACAAGCGCAGCCTGGGCTACGCTTGTACCAAATTTCAACTCTCTGGCCTCTCTGCAACGCCATTAGAGTTGACATGGCCCAGCGGCGCGATCGTATACACGAATTAGGTAGAACGAGACCGTGGAGTGCGCGTGTGTGTGTGTACGTGTGTGTGTGTGTGTACGTGTGTGTGTGTGGGTACGTGTATGTGTGTACGTGTGTGTGTGGGGAGCGGTAGTGTAGCAGTTATCGCGCTGCGCTACGAACCTGGCCGACCTGAGTTCGATTCCCGCTCACGGCCAACACCAGTGACGATTATCTGAACCGGTCCCGGGCCTCCCCCTAGGTTGACTCAGCCTAAAATGAGTGCCTGGTGCGGTGTGTAAACATCGCCACTGGGGAAGACAAAGGCGGCCGGGCGTTGTTCTGCCCACTCACCCACTCGTGTACCGTTCCGGCCATCATAGGTGCTCACTAACAGCACTTTCCCCAACAGTCTGCGAAGGCCATACGGGGGATCTTTGTCTTTGTTTGGGTATGTGTGTGTGTGTGCCTTTAGTGCTACCGTTATCGCGTTCACGGCCAACACCAGTGACGATTATTTGAACCGGTTATGGGCCTCCCCTTTGTCGACTAAGTGCGTGGTGCGGTGTGTAAACATCGACAAAGGCGGTCGGGCGTCGTGCTAGCCACCCACCCCCTCGTGTGCCGTGCCGGCCAACATAGGTGCTACTCGCTCACAGCACTTGCCCCAACAGTCTGTTAAGGCTCTTTGGCCTAATGTAGATATATATACTGCAGGCGCGTGAAATTTAAATTAATTTCACGCCCCTTAAGGAATTGCATTTGCCCACAATTTCAATGTGACAGGTCCCTCCGTAAAATTAGTCTTGAGACTCAGTGAGTCACATGACATCATCACAGACTATCAGGAGACATTATCTTTGTTCACGCGTCCACAGGCTTATAGCGTGTTAGCTGACAACAACCAGCATCAACATAACCCGCGAGATGTGTACATGTACACACGATACAAACGAAATCCTCTTTGGTCTATCCACTGCTGGATGAATCACGTGCAGATGTGTGACCGTAGCGGCTCTAAAGATACCCCTATGTCGACTCCGGTTTGGTGTGTAACACATCAGCACTTGGGAGACAAAGGCGGTCGGGCGCGCGCGTGGTGCTGACCAGACAGCAACCACTCACTGTGCTTAATAGGTGCGAATGTATGGCGTGGGGGTCTTTGTTAGTGTGTGAGCAAGCATGTTAAATTTGCGCGTTGCCTGTGTACCTGGTGTGGTGTGTAAACATCGCCACTTCTAAGGCCATACGAAGGGGTCTTTGTCTTTGAGTGTATGTGCGTGTGTGTATGCACGAAGCGAGTAAGTTGGTATATTAGTGAGTGTGTGAGTGGGGCTGTTTGTGCCTGCGTGCGAACGAGTGAATGAGCGGTCGACCGAGAGAGTGTTGAGCGAGTGAGTGGCGATAAGTGATTAAGTTCGTGCTGACTGCTGCGAGCGTCCGAGCGAGTGAGTGCATGAACGAGTGTGTGTATATATGTGTGTGTGTGACGGTAGTGGGGAGCGGTAGTGTAGCGGTTAGCGCGCTGCGCTATGAACCTGGCGACCCGGGTTCGATTCCCGACACCAGTGACGATTATCTGAACCGGTCCCGGGCCTCCCCTAGGTCGACTCAGCCTCAAATGAGTACCTGGTGCGGTGTGTAAACATTGCCACTAGGGAGACAAAGGCGGTCGGGCGTGGTGCTGGCCACCCACCCCCTCGTGTACCGTTCCGGCCTTCATAGGTGCTCGCTAACAGCACTTGCCCCTACAGTCTGTTAAGGCTATATGGGGGATCTTTGTTTTGTGTGTGACTGAGTGTGCGTGTGTTGCGGGGAGCGGTGGTGTAGCGGTTAGCGTGCTGCGCGTCCCGGGTTCGATTCCCGCTCACGGCCAACACCGGTGACGATTATCTGAACCGGTCCTGGGCCTCCCCTAGGTCGACTCCGCCTCAAATGAGTACCCGGTGCGATGTGTAAACAAAGGCGATCGGGCGTGGTGCTGGCCACCCACCCGCTCATGTGCCGTACCGGCTTTTATAGGTGCTCGCAAACAGAACTTGCCCCTACACCCTGTTAAGGCTATACCGGTTGTCTTTGTCTATGTGTGTTGTGGTTCTCTCACTCACTATCTCTTTCACTCGCCGGCTCACTCACTCGCTCACTGACAAAGACCCCCTATATAACCTTCATAGCAGAATGTTTAGGGCAAGTGTTGTTTGTTGTTTGGGGCAGCTTCGTCTCCCCGGTTTCTGATCTTCACGACACGCACGAGGTACTCATTAAAGGCCGAGTCGATCTAGCAAAGACCCAACTGTTGTTGTTGATGGTGAGCGGGTATCAAACTCGGTTCGCCCGGGTTCGCATCGCAACCACCACCACCGTCACAGCATAACATCCCACTCACCCACTCACTCACCTACTCACTCACATACTCATCCACTCACTCACCCACTCAACCACTCTCTCACTCTTTCACCCACCCCACTCAGTCACCCACCCGCTCACCCTCTCACCCACCTGCATGTCGTCCATGTGCTGATGAACGAGTCCCGCGAGCGTGAGTCCGTCCGCGAGCGACACATCGAGCCCCCCCCCCGGCGGCCCCCCACCGGAGCCGTGCAGGAGAATGTCCGGCCGCCGCGGGGTGCCGTAGTCTCTCCTCGACTCCAGTCCGCCCGACAGCTGCGTGACCAAGGCTCGGGTCGACGCCGCGGAGTGAGCGGGCAGTATCGCGTGCTGCGCGCCCGCTCCGCCGCTCACCGCCCCGTGGTGGTGGTGATGCGATGGCCCCGTGTGGCCGTGTCCGTGGCCTCCACCTCCACTACCACCTCCTCCTCCACCACCACCACCACCTCCATGAGCGTGGCCGTGCGCATTGGCCGCCTCTGGTGTGGCCTGTCTCTGAGCCGCGTTTGCTTGCTGCTGCTGCTGCTGCCACGCCGCCTGTTGGCTCTGGTGCGCGTGGTGGTGGTGGTTGTTGTGGTGGTGATGGTGATGGTGGTGCAGGGCGTTGTGCTGGTGCAGGGGGTTTAGCGCTCCGAACGGGTCGTGGGGGGTGGCGCCGTAGGGGTCCTGGGACTGCGCGTAGGCGAGCGGTTGGTACGGCGGGGGGAAGTAGGGCGGCTGGAAGTCGGCCGCCGCTGCAGCGGCTGCGGCGGCCGCGGCTGCCGCGGCCGCCGCGGCCGCCGAGTGAGAGTGGGAGAGCGGTGGGGCGCTGCCCGAGTAGGGCCCACCGGCCTGGCCCAGCTGAGCGGCCAGGCGGCCGGCTCCGTGGGACCCCACCATGTCGGCTCGCTCCTGCCCACGACGGAGTGGAGAAGGATCGGATAAAGAGAGCGGGGAGAGAGAGAGAGAAGAGAGGGGGGAGAGAGGCAAAAGCGGTCGTGAGCGATTTGAGAGAGCTCCGATGAAGGGTTCGCGACGCACCCTCGCGTTGGCCAATTGGACGCGGCGCGCCGCTCGTGCCGACGCCTCGACTCTCCTCCATCGGCGCGTGGGAGTCGCGCGGAGCGGGCACGGGGGGGTGGGGGGAGCCTCTCGGGCAGCTGCCGGAGTCTCGGGGTGGGGAGCACGCGCGGACACGCGGGGGAGACACCGGGGAACGGACACCGCGGACAGACGGGCAGACGGACACGCGGACGCGCGGGTGGTGAGACGGACACGCGGGGACACACGTGGCACGCGGGGACACACTTGACACGCGGGGACACACGTGACACGCGGGGACACACTCGACACGTGGGGACATACGTGACACACGTGACACGCGGGGACACACGTGACACACGTGACACGCGGGGACACACTCGACACGCGGGGACACACGTGACACGCGGGGACACACTCGACACGCGGGGACACACGTGACACGCGGGGACACACTCGACGCGCGGGCGCGGTCGAACGGCGAAGGATCGCGATTCGGAACTTGAAAGTTGAACGCGCGGACGGACGGACCGATGAAGAGGCAATGTTCTCCCTAGCGGGGCAGGTCACGCGGGGAACGAGGCCGGACGTGACTTAGACGCGAGCGGAGAGGCGGACGAGACAATGCGTCGAGATGGAGTCGGTGCGTCAAGGGTAGCGACGTGCTCCCATTGTTTGGGACGAGACGGCGTGGCGATGCGAGTCGAGGTGCGACTCTCAACGCGCCTTTGAGCTCGTGGAGAGGGACACGCGGAGACACAAAGACAAAGATTCCACCCCCGCATTGCCTTCACAGACTGCTGCTGCCATTATCTCCCCGTTGTTGATGTTTACACATCGCACGACGTTGCCCATTTGAGGCTGAGTCAACCTAGGAGGAGGCCCGGGACCGGTTCAGATAATCGTCACCGGGTGTTGTTCCTGAACGGGAGTCGAACTCGGGTTCGCCGGGTTCGTAGCGCAGCGCGCTAGCAGCTACACCACCGCTCCCCCCCCCCCCAATGCGGATACACACGTCCACACACAGACGCAGACACAAAGACACGCGGATACAAATGACAAAAAGATGCACCTACACACATACACACATAGAGATACAGAAAAACGCAGATACACAAATACAGGAGATCTCCACAGATAGAGACACGTAGATGCGCAAAGGCAAACACAGACAAAGGCAAATACATATACACAATCAGAATCTTTAGACTGCAGGAATCTGATGAGCTATGAAGCTCTATTTTTTTTTACAAATGTCCAAAACAAATATCCCCCATATAGCCCTAACGGACTCTTGGGGAAAGTTCTTCCAGCGAGCACCTATGAAGGCCGGTACGGCACACGAGGGTATGGGTGGCCAACACCACGCCCGGCCGCCTTTGTCTCCCGAGTGGCGACGTTTTACACACCGCACCAGGTACTCATTTGAGGCTGAGTCGACCTAGGGGGGAGGCCCAGGACCGGCTCAGATAATCGTCTCTGGTGTTGGCCGTGAGCGAGGAATCGAACTCGGCTCTCCAGGTTCGTAGCGCAGCGCGCCACACACACGAACACACATACGAACACACACACGCGAACACACACGAACACACACACTAACACACACACGCGAAAACACACGAACACACACACGAACACACACACGAACACACACACACGAACACACACACGCGAACACACACGAACACACACGAACACACACACGAACACACACACACGAACACACACACACACGAACACACACACACACACGAGCACACACACACGAACACACACACACGAACACACACACACGAACACACACATGAACACACACACACGAACACACACACACACGAACACACACACACGAACACACACACAGGAACACACACACGAACACACACACACACGAACACACACACACACACACGAACACACACACAAACACACACACGAACACGCGCGCGGGCAGCTGTGAGCGTTGCCACAGCGCGCGCGATTCGCAGTGGGAAGACGGGCTTGCGAATGAAAGCGCGGAGCGCGCTGGAGTCGGCCAAGATCTTCGTGCCCTGCGGGCGATTGTCGCTCCGAGATCCCCTAACCCCCCCCCGCCCCCCCCGAAACATCTCCTGCAGGCGTCTCGCTTTGCGCGAAGACACCCCCTACCCCGCCCCCCCCCCGGCCAGAACCCACCACGCATCACTCACTCGCACAGCGAGAGAGAGATAGGAAGAGATAGGAAACAAGTTGCATTCGACACGTCGCTTGATGCTGCTGATGATGCGGCGGCGGTGGTGCCGGTGTATAGTCGCACGAGATATCTCAGAGTCGACAATGTGGAGTTGATTCACTTCGTACGCGCTTGTGTGTGTGTGTTGTCTCTCTGTATCGCTCTCAGTGGGTAGTGTAGTGGGTAGCGCAGTGGGTAGCGCAGTGGGTAGTGTAGTGGGTAGTGTAGTGGGTAGTGTAGTGGGTAGTGTAGTGGGTAGTGTAGTGGGTAGTGTAGTGGGTAGCGCAGTGGGTAGTGTAGTGGGTAGTGTAGTGGGTAGCCCAGTGGGTAGCGACGTGGGTAGTGTAGTGGGTAGCGCAGTGGGTAGTGTAGTGGGTAGTGTAGTGGGTAGTGTAGTGGGTAGCGCAGTGGGTAGTGTAGTGGGTAGTGTAGTGGGTAGTGTAGTGGGTAGCGCAGTGGGTAGTGTAGTGGGTGATGTAGTGGGTAGTGTAGTGGGTAGTGTAGTGGGTAGCGTAGTGGGTGATGTAGTGGGTAGTGTAGTGGGTAGCGCAGTGGGTAGTGTAGTGGGTAGCGTAGTGGGTGGTGTAGTGGGTAGTGTAGTGGGTAGTGTAGTGGGTAGTGTAGTGGGTAGCGTAGTGGGTGGTGTAGTGGGTAGTGTAGTGGGTAGTGTAGTGTGTAGTGTAGTGGGTAGCCCAGTGGGTAGTGTAGTGGGTAGTGTAGTGGGTAGTGTAGTGGGTAGTGTAGTGGGTAGCGCAGTGGGTAGCGCAGTGGGTAGTGTAGTGGGTAGTGTAGTGGGTAGTGTAGTGGGTGATGTAGTGGGTAGTGTAGTGGGTAGTGTAGTGGGTAGTGTAGTGGGTAGCGCAGTGGGTAGTGTAGTGGGTAGTGTAGTGGGTAGCCCAGTGGGTAGCGACGTGGGTAGTGTAGTGGGTAGCGCAGTGGGTAGTGTAGTGGGTAGTGTAGTGGGTAGCCCAGGGGGTAGCGACGTGGGTAGTGTAGTGGGTAGTGTAGTGGGTAGCGCAGTGGGTAGTGTAGTGGGTAGTGTAGTGGGTAGTGTAGTGGGTAGCGCAGTGGGTGATGTAGTGGGTAGTGTAGTGGGTAGCGCAGTGGGTAGTGTAGTGGGTAGCGTAGTGGGTGGTGTAGTGGGTAGTGTAGTGGGTAGTGTAGTGGGTAGTGTAGTGGGTAGCGTAGTGGGTGGTGTAATGGGTAGTGTAGTGAGTAGTGTAGTGGGTAGCCCAGTGGGTAGCCCAGTGGGTAATGTAGTGGGTAGTGTAGTGGGTAGTGTAGTGTGTAGTGTAGTGGGTAGCGACGTGGGTAGTGTAGTGGGTAGCGCAGTGGGTAGTGTAGTGGGTGGTGTAGTGTGTAGTGTAGTGGGTAGTGTAGTGGGTAGTGTATTGGGTAGCACAGTGGGTAGCGTAGTGGGTAGCGTAGTGTGTAGTGTAGTGTGTAGTGTAGTGGGTAGCGCAGTGGGTAGAGTAGTGGGTAGTGTAGTGTGTAGTGTAGTGTGTAGTGTAGTGGGTAGCGCAGTGGGTAGTGTAGTGGGTAGTGTAGTGGGTAGTGTAGTGGGTAGTGTAGTGGGTAGCGCAGTGGGTAGCGTAGTGGGTAGTGTAGTGTGTAGTGTAGTGTGTAGTGTAGTGGGTAGCGCAGTGGGTAGTGTAGTGGGTAGTGTAGTGTGTAGTGTAGTGTGTATTGTAGTGGATAGCGCAGTGGGTAGCGTAGTGGGTAGTGTAGCGGGTAGTGTAGTGGGTAGTGTAGTGGGTAACGCAGTGGGTAGTGTAGTGGGTAGTGTAGTGGGTAGTGTAGTGGGTAGCGCAGTGGGTAGTGTAGTTGGTAGAGACGTGGGTAGTGTAGTGGGTAGTGTAGTGGGTAGCGCAGTGGGTAGTGTAGTAGGTAGCGATGTGGGTAGTGTAGTGGGTAGCGCAGTGGGTAGTGTAGTTGGTAGAGACGTGGGTAGTGTAGTGGGTAGTGTAGTGGGTAGCGCAGTGGGTAGCACAGTGGGTAGCGACGTGGGTAGTGTAGTGGGTAGCGCAGTGGGTAGTGTAGTGGGTAGTGTAGTGGGTCGAGCGCGCGACGCTGCCGAACCCGGCGAGCTGAGTTCGGTTCCCGCTCACGACCAATGACACCAGTGACGATTATATGAACCCGGTCCTACGTCCACTCAGCCTGAAATTAGTGCCTGGTTCGTTGCGTAAGCATCGCTACTCGGGAGACAAAGGCGGTCGGGCGTGGTGCTGGCCACCCTCGTGAGCCGTGCCGGCCTTCATAGGTGCTCGCTAACAGCACTTGTCCCAAAAATCGGTCAAGGATGAACGGGAGATCTTTGTCTGCCGCTTTCAAAACGTCAAATCGCATCACGATTAAAAGACTGAGAAAATTGACATTCATAACTTGGAAAAAAAAACCTACAAAAATCACACAAAGATCCCCCGTATAGCCTTAACAGACGGTCGGGGCCCATTGCTGTTCGCGAGAACCTACGAAGGCCGACACGGCACACGAGTGGTTGGTGTGGCCGGCCGGAAAAAAACACGCCCGACCGCCTTTGTCTCCCCAGTGCTGATGTTTACACACCGCACTAGGTTCTCATTGGAGGCTGAGTTCGACCTATAGGCGATTCCAAGAATCAGTTCGGATCATCGCTATCACTGGTGTTGGCCGTAGTGGCCGTGAGCGGGAGTCGAACTCGGCTTTATGTCGGATTTCGTAGTCGCAGCGCGCTAGCCACTGCACTACAGCTCCCCCCATATATGTATACATACACCATATATATACGTCTGTGTGTATATACTACAAAAGATCCCCCGGGTATAGTCTTTAACAGACTGTTGGGGCGAGTGCAGTAAAGCGAGCGCGTGTAAAGGCCCATCACGGCACGACGAGCGGCGGTGTGTGACCGCACCACGCCCGGACCGCCTTTGTCTCCCTCGCGCTAACGTTTACACACATGCACCAGATTCTCAGCCGATGCTGAGTCGACCCATATAATACAACACAACACACACACGCGCGCAGAGAGAGAGAGATAAGAACAAGATAAGATCGCGACGCGGAAAACTCACCATGGCCGCGTACGTGTGAACCAGCATTTGGGACGAATGCAGTCAGAGGCTCTCAGATTTAAAAAAAAAAAGCGATAAAATTTGCCCACACCCACCACCGCCGCCGCCACTCTAAAATAAATATCTTATATATAAAATTACAAAAGTCACGGGGCAAATTGGCACGCGTGTGCTGTGCACCGCTACGCGACGACTCTTGTCATCTACAAGTTTGTATTTACGCGCCCAGCTCCTCCGTGCAATTGCAATAACAATATTGCTGTTGTTGCTGCTGCTGCTACTGCTGTTGTTGTTGCTGCTGAGTTGCTACTGAGTTGTTGCTACTGAGTGGTTGCTGCTGCTGCTGAGTTGTTGCTGCTGCTGAGTGGTTGCTGCTGCAGAGTGGTTGCTGCTGCTGAGTTGTTGCTGCTGCTAAATTGTTGCTGCTGAGATGTTGCTGCTGAGTTGCTGTTGCTGAGTTGTTGCTGCTGCTGCTGAGTTGTTGCTGCTGAGTTGCTGCTGCTGAGTGGTTGCTGCTGCTGAGTTGTTGCTGCTGCTGCTGAGTGGTTGCTGCTGCAGAGTGGTTGCTGCTGCTGAGTTGTTGCTGCTGCTAAATTGTTGCTGCTGAGTGGTTGCTGCTGCTGAGTGGTTGCTGTTGCTGAGTGGTTGCTGCTGCTGCTGAGTGGTTGCTGCTGCAGAGTTGCTGTTGCTGAGTTGCTGCTGCTGAGTTGCTGCTGCTGAGTGGTTGCTGTTGCTGAGTGGTTGCTGCTGCTAAATTGTTGCTGCTGAGTGGTTTGCTGCTGCTGCTGCTGCTTGACGCGAGCGAGGAGCGCGCTCCCGCTCGGAGCCACGGACGCGACTCGTCTGGGCGGAATCGGCTGAACGCGGGCGAAACGCCGCACCTCCGCAACGCACACACACACACGTACACACACACACGTACACACACACCCCACCACCACCCATGTCACTCCCTCCCTGTGCCCCCCCCACTCTCTCAATCGCTCACTCTTACGCCTCCCCCACTCCCCCCGCGAGCCCCCCCCCTACCCACCCCGCCCCCCCCACACCCCCTCGCCTCTACCACCCCCCCTCGCCCCCACCACCAAACCCTTACTCCTCCCCCCACCCTCTTTCTCATCCACCCTCAATGCTCCCTCTCTCCGGATCCAAACATTACTTTCGTATACTCCACCCCCAACGCGACACACACACGCAACACAGACAAAGATCATCCCTGTAGCCTCAACACACTTTTCGGGCAAGTGCTGTTCGAGAGCCCGGCCGCCTTTGTCTCCCGAGTGGCGATGTTTGTTTACCACACCGCACCAGGTACTCATTTGAGGCTGAGTCGACCTAGTGGAGGCCCAGGACCGGTTCAGATAACACTCGTCACTGGTGCTTGCCGTGATCGGAAATATAACGCCACTCGATTTCTCCAGGATAAAAACAAAGATTCTGAACTTGGGTACGTAACACACAGAACAAAGATCCCCCGTGTAGCCTGTAACAGATTGTCGGGGCAAGTGCTGTTAGCGGAGCACCTATGAAGACCGGCACGGCACGCGAGGGGGTGGGTGGCCACCACCACGCCCGGCCGCCTTTGTTTCCCCAGTGGCGATGTTTACACATCGCACCAGGTACTCATTTGAGTCGACCTAGGGGAGGCCCAGGACCGGTTCAGATAATCGTCACTGGTGTTGGCCGTGAGCGGGAATCGAACTCGGGTCACCGGGTTCATAGCGCAGCGCGCTAACCGCTACACTACCGCTCCACACACACATATATATACAAACACACACAAAGACACATACACACACAAAGACACATACACACAGGGTGTGTGTGCGTCTCTCCTTCAACCCCCTCCTGTGCGGGTGTCTCTCTCCCTCTGTTACCCCCGCACGCACCCCGCATCCATCCCCTCCACTGCCTCCCACCCATCACCCGCTCATGGTTATTCATTGAAGGCACGCGAGCAGAAAAATGCGCTCTCTCTCTCTCTGCACACGCGTCCCAACGACAGACACACCGAGTGGGGGGCACGGGCGGGGGGGTGGGGATCGGAGTGGGGGGGAGAGAGAGTTGATGGGGGAGGGGGTAGGAGGAGGGGGGGAGAGCTAAGATAGAAGTGAGCGAGCGAGCGATTTCTACGATTGTGTCGTTTCAATCCCGAGACGGCAGCTACATCATCATCGTCATGACCATCGCGCGAACACTTACGGGCAGTATAATTTAAACTTTCATCGTTCCTCGTACCGTCACCGAAGACAAATATCCCCCGGGTAGCCCGCTGGTGCAAAGGGCTCTCAGCCAGCGCCTACGTTAGCCGACATGGGTGGGTGCTGATCAACTCGCCCGGCCGCTTTTGTCTCCCTCGTGGAGACGTTATACACACCGCATCAGGTACTCACTGGAGGCTGAGTCGACCTAGGGGAAGGCCAGGGCCGGTGCAAATAATCGTCACTGGGTGTTGGTGACCGCGAGCGGGAATCGAACTCGGGGCGCCGGGTTCGTAGCGCTGCGTAGCGCTAACCGCTGCACTACCGCTCCCCGCCATCATCACGAAAGACAAAGATCACCCGTGTAGCCTTCAGCAGACTGTTGGGGCAAGTGCTGTTCGCGGGCACCACCATCGCAAATCAACGCCACCGCCTCGACCATAAATAAATTAACTCGTATTATTGACGATATCATAATCATCATCATCGCCACCACCGTCTCAACTCGATACCTTGATACATGTAGTCGTATAGAATATAATGACGTGTTTTCTACGTGTGAATATCATTGTGGTCGCTTGGTACTCGTCGGTTAGCACCGACCCTCCTGTCGAGACTTTCCAGCTCCTGCCAGCGGTTCGTCAGCAATTCGCGAGAGATGCGGGATGTAGGAAAGACGACGCTTAATGTAAAATTTAAACATTATTATTCATATTATAATTCATATTATCACCGACGCCGCCACCTGAACTCAAGATCATGCAAGGTTCCATCATGGACAACTATAGATTCATCAGCATCACCACTATCATAAAGATTACAATAATATCATCAGGACCACCACCACCGAAACTCGATATCACTAAATATTTCATGTGTTGGAAAATAGAATCATAGAATCATCATCACCGCCGCTGGTAATGAAAATATATAATTTTTTTAAATATCCTACGAATAAATCATCATCTTCGCACCAAATATTTCAGATATATATATGCAACTTGTAATAGTATTTACGCGATATGCAAACATTATTACTAATTATTGTAATTGCTGGGACGAGCTAAGTCGAAGTTACGATTGAAAATTATAAAGGACGCTTCTTTGTCATGATCAATGATTTAAATATCGCGATATCCCTCCCCGCCCAGCGTCAAATTCATCGAAACGACAATCGAAATAATAATCGATTCTTCGTATAATCGGATGGTCTGGTTCAAATTGCTGGTGTACAATAATTGGGGACTCCCATTGGCCAGTCGTTCGTATTCATCATCATAAGCATCATCATCATCAGCCATGCCCGATCCACTGCTGGATCAATGCTTCTTCCTGGCGACGCCACCTCTCACGATACGTCCAGCCAGCTGCCTACGAACCGATTTCGTGCGATTCGTTCCGTGCGGGTTCGGTTTGTGCGATTTTGTGTCCATGCGGCTAACCTACTTCTTAGCCTAAATTCGCTACGTGCGGTTTCAATTCACTCAAATGCGGCTATGCGGTCGAACATCGGGCAGCATTGTGTGTGTGTACTGTGTGTGTGTGGACGGTGTGTGTTCTGTGCGTGTGTACTGGGTGTGTGTACTGTGTGTGTGTACTGTGTGTGTACGGTGTGTGTTCTGTGCGTGTGTACTGGGTGTGTGTACTGTGTGTGTAATGTGTGTGTACTGTGTGTGTGTACTGGATGTGTGTACTGTGTGTACTGTCTGTGTACTATGTGTACTGTCTGTGTATGTACGGTGTGTGTTCTGTGCGTGTGTACTGGGTGTGTGTACTGTGTGTGTGTACTGGATGTGTGTACTGTGTGTGTACTGTGTGTATGTGTGTACTGTGTGTGTACTGTGTGTGTGTACTGGATGTGTGTACTGTGTGTGTACTGTGTGTGTGTGTACTGTGTGTGTACTGTGTGTGTACTGTGTGTACCGTGTGTTCTGTGTGTGTGTAGTGTCTGTATACTATGGGTACTGTCTGTGTACTGTGTGTGTATGTACTGGGTGTGTTCTGTGCGTGTGTACTGTGTGTGTGTACTGTGTGTGTGTACTGGATGTGTGTACTTTGTGTGTGTACTGTGTGTGTACTGTGTATGTGTACTGTGTGTGTGTACTGTGTGCGTGTGTACTGGATGTATGTACTGTGTGTGTGTGCTGTGTGTGTACTGTGTGTGTACCGTGTGTTCTGTGTGTGTGCATTGTGAGTAGTGTCTGTGTACTATGTGTACTGTGTGTGTACTGTGTGTATGTACTAGGTGTGTACTGGATGTGTGTACTGTGTGTGTACTGTGTGTGTACTAGGTGTGTACTGTGTGTATTTACTAGGTGTGTACTGGATGTGTGTACTGTGTGTGTGTACTGTGTGTGTGTACTGTGTGTACTGTATGTACTGTATGTATTGTATGTCTGTACTCTGTCTCGGCAGGCAGCTATCTCCTCGTATGGTTTCGCATTGTGCGCCCATTTTTTTTTGGAACGCATCTACTACGACTACTACTACCGCATAGAGCGAGGGAAAACAGTGCATTAACGGTATTCAAATGCCGTCGAGAGTGAACGCAAATGCGTCGTCGATTCTTTTACATTTGACCCGAGTTCGCTTTTTTTCCACGAGGAACTTGGTGCAAACGGGACGAATATTCTCTTTAGCGATAGCAGCACGTGACGCTCGCCTGTGACGCAGCGCTTGATAAAGTGAGGGTTGGTGGATAACGTAGAGATGTGTGTGAGTCATGCTCCTAAGAATCCGAATATTTATTTATCCTGGAAGAATCCGATGACCTAAGTGTATATATTGATTTAAAGCTTTCGTGACTGCAGGGATTCATATTCTTGTTTTTTTTCGGTAAAGTCACGTAGAAGGGAAACAATAAAATAATAAAAATATAAAATAATAAAATTCTCACGACGTTTCGACTGTCGTTTCGACTGTCGAAACGTCGCTTCGACTGTCGAAACGTCGTGAGAATTTTATTGTTTTATATTTTTATTATTTTATTGTTTCCCTTCTACGTGACTTTACCGAAAGAACCAAGAATATGTATATATATTATTTTACCACGTAAGGCCCACTGAGCTATATAGCTCTTTTTCTGAAACGACCTGGTCGCAAAATGATAGCTGAACGAAGTGGCTCGCCACGTGGAAATTCATAGCAGCCAAATACTCTCAATGCGTGATGTTAATTCTA